TGCTGACTGAGACACGCTCACCTCTGTGGCATCACTAAAGAGCCTTAGACCAATACAGCAAGGATGTACTTTTTAAAGAAAGTCAAAGAGCCAAAACAGAGCTTCTAAAAAAGGCAGTGCTTACAAGTCCCCTGGGTCAAACAGGGCAGAAGCCCTTGTCAGCAAGAAGACAGGACAAATACCTACATTTCTTCCTGAAACCCACCCAGAGTCCTTCCCTCTGCCGGATAGCATCTACTCCAGGCTCTCCTTGTTTCTCTTCCCTACTTGAGTTTAAACAAACAAGCTCTGTCCATACACTATCTTTGGCTGCTACTCCAGAACAAGTCACAGTTAAAAAGCAATGCCTGAACCGACTGATGTGTGCTGACCTGCTCAGACAGACACAGCCCTCTTCTGCCCTCATAACAGCATGGACAGTCATCATAAAAATACTACCAAAGACTCTACCATTTTTAGCACCCTGATTTTGCTTTGGCCTCTGGTTTTGTTGGACCCCAAGTGTACAGCCTGTGTCATTTCATGACCTATAAGCTAACACCTCTCTCTACCACATAAGCACCAACATGGGAACCTGGGCTTGGCGCTGATTTGTTCATGCAGGGAGCAGGGCTGAGGACTGGGACAGGTTTTAACCTGACCCCTACCTGGACTGCCCACAGATAATCAAGACTTTGTCTCCATGCTGCTTCCCGACCCTCCCATGTCCACAGCTGGCAGGGAGGAAGGACTTCATCATCACTGACAAACATGCTTCCTCATCTTTATGGGCTCATTTCAGAGCACTGCGGAATGACATCAGCACCAAAAGGAACCAAAGTGACCCAGATGGGTGGTTACCTCCTGTGTAGTAGCTCCACAGGTACTACAAACCAGGAGTAGGAGGCAATAAAATCATGAAGGATGAGAAAGTCTTGTGCCTCACAAGGTGAGGACTGATATGTAGGAGCTTCCTCACCTGCTGCTGCTACCTGGCCAGAAGTGCTGTGGCTCTGTGACCAGAAAGTGGATGTGCAGTGGTGACAGCAGCAGCAAGAAGGGGCCAAAGAGGCTGGAAAGAGGGCAGACAGAAAGCCAAGAAGGCAGCAGGACTGGTGCCTCTGAGAGGTGGGGGATGAGGAGGTATGGAAAGGCTGTAGCTCCAGACAAGAAAGATTTTCACTTCTCTGGTGACTTCAGCAGGCTCAGGACCCAAAGTGGCCACAGAGCATCAACAACAGCCAGCATAGCGTGGACACAAGTGCCTACCAGCCCTTATCCTCCTGGCACTGCAGCTCCTGCCGTAGTGGAGGTAACACCTCGATGCTTGTGAGTGTCCAGTGGCAAAAACTAGGCTCCACCAGCTGAGGAACAACAGGTCATGAGAGCCAAAATCTGTCTAGACATGCCAGCCTAAGTTTTGTACCAAATGTTCTGAGCTTTAGCACATGTTAGCATCTCTTCTTCCTAATAGCTTTCCTTTGTGTTCCTTCTCTTCTAGCACTGAATGTGTGATTCAGTGATGCATTAACCTTTGTGTCTGATTCCTGATCTGCTGTTAAAACCTATGTTAATTCCTCAGAATCTCACAATTTTTTCCCCAAGCAAATTCTGAGCAGTTCTGGGATTCCTGTACCCGCAGACGCAGTAGGTAGCTAACATGGTCTGCTCTCCAACAGCTCAGGCTGCATGAAAGGTCTAATTAACACCTCATCAAACTCAACTGTTGGTTGTGTCTGGAGAAATTCCCTCTTGCACCTGTGCATTCACAAGACACCATTTCTAGCCTACCGCACAGCAGGCCCCAGCCATCGGAGCAATGCTCCATCACTGCAAGAGCCCGTCCTTACATCAGCAGTAGCGGTCCTGGTCCAGTCTCCAGGGCTTGCCAGCCCAGAGCGACATTGACATTCTCTGTGGCTGCTCTGAGCCATTGCACCGTGCAGGGTGGTGCAAGAGCTCAGGAGCAATAACTCAGTAGTGAAGGGTGTGCAAGGCCTGTGCTGTTGCGTTTCAGGCAGGGCTCTCATCCCCATACCATATCCTACCTGCATCATCAGAAAGTGCACAGGTTTCACCCAGCACAGCTCAGTGTCACCCGCCTAAGGACAGCCTTTGCAGTGGGACAGCCTGCACACACCCCTACATGCTGGAAACCTTCAGGTGCCTGATCTACGCTCATCATCGAGCCTGTCTAGCAGAACCCAGAGAAAGCTGGCACCCCAGAAGTGGTTCAGTCCCACCCTGTGCTGGAGGACAGGCCGTAGGATTGGGTGTGAATGGCCCTGGAGGTGTCCATTTCCCACCACTGAGACAGACAGAGCCTGGTGCACAGCAGAGTGCAACGCCCAATTCATGTCGACATTCATTATTGCAGGACAAGGTTTAAACATAAAGAATAAGTTTAACTTTGTTGCTTGAGATAATAGTTAAACAATAGACTACAATGTTTGGAACACAGAGCATGCAAAAGGAAAATGTAATTTTAGGTAATACTTCACAATGAGACTGAGTGTTTCAACACCTCGGGTAACTCTAGAGGCTTTCCCTGGAGAACATCCAACTCCAGCTTCTACTGTTGGAGATCACACTTCCTGGGCCTCTCTGAGCTCTCCTTTCCCACTTAGCTCATTTCCATTATTTGCCCCCTCCAAATTCCTCTTCCTCACTTTGTGTAACAGGGCACCACTTGCCTGGCAGACTAAGCCACCCATCCCGACCTCTGCTCTGGGGTGTCTCTTCTCTCCCCTCCAGCCTTCCTTAACACTTGAGTCATAATCTTCCACTTGACTTCCTATCTGCTTGATGTCTGCTGTTCATCACGTTTTTTAAAATAAGAAAAAAACTTTGCAGATTTCACACCATCAGGACTATTAACTGCACACAGTTTATTTGCTCTGGAGCCTTCACCCTACTGTGAGCACTATGTAGACCACTCATCATGGTCTAGCAAGTCAGACAGCAGGCTTGCCGCTGAGAGCACCTTCCTAAATTCCTTCTCTCTCCCGCTTGCAGACTGTGGTGCTCATTCAGGATCCCCAGAGGCATGTCCTGGCTGTGACAGCCCCAGGCACATGCTGAGCCATATCCCATTGACCAGTTCTGCAATGCTCCTGCAGAAGGCAGAGCTCTCGGTAGCACTGACTGAGAGTACTGAAGAGGCCTCAGGGAGCTGCTGGGAATAAAGCTCACACTGTCAAGCGGCTTAGGCACTGGGGTTTATTTGTTTGTTCTTTTGCAACTCCATTTCCAAATACTGCAAATGAGCATTTAGCCCTTTGTGTAATCAGACTTGTTCCTCCTCTTTACGCCCTGCCTGGTAATAATGGGGTCTTTTATGTGTCTCCTAGGACCCTGTGGGCTGTCAGGCCATGCAGGCACGTGCCGCTTGCCATGAGCTGCAGGCACCAGGCTTTGGAGTGCAGGACACAAGGTTTCTCCATGGGAGAGAGAAATCACTTTTAGCGCCTGCGGACCAGCATCACCCTGACAGGTAGGGATGGCAGCAGAGAAACAGCATATAGCTTGGAGAGCCGGCATGCTCTTTACAGCTCTTTCAGACCAACGTGGGGGTCTGGAGAGCCCCCACCATCCCATCACAAGGGCTGCTCAAACCCTAGCTCTTACCTTCCTTCCCTTTCATTCCACATGGTGTTTCTGCCATTCTCTCCATCAGATTGTACGCTACAGCCTCACTCCCAGGGTCGCCGTCAGTCAGAGCATGGCTCCAGCAACGTAGAGCTGTCGGACCACCCTGGCCGTGTGACTGAGCTCTTCCAACCCCTCTTCCCTGGGACCCGGCTGCGGTGCACGAAGGGCAAACACAGCAGTAGGACTTCCCTTTCTCTAAGAGCTTCTTGGCTCTCATCCCTGTTGTTTTTCTTACTCAGCCCACTCCTCCCGGCGCTAATAGGTTTCCCGCTGATCAAGGCTACTACAACATTTTGCAACTCCCCCCGCGCCATACCGAACGCCGGGGCTCCGGCGAGCGATGCGCCTGTGCGGCATTGGCAGCAGCCATGGTGTGGGCGCAGGGGTTGCTCCCCCACTTTTGTCAGCGGCAGGGATGCTGGCGTCGCAGCTGGTTCCACCAGCTTTATGGTCCCTTTGTGCTGCTGCAGCAGAGCTGAGAATCTGGCCCTGGCTCCCTCTCTGCCTCGCCGGGGACTGCATCAGTGTGCTGTTTATTGTTTCTGCCAGATCATTCATGCAGATGTTAATGAATGCTAGACCCAGCTTTGCTCCCAGCAGAGTCCCTTCCACACCTCCCCCTGCCCAGCCCTCTGCACTGGAGTTTCTGTTTACAGTCCTACAGGGAATTTCCCCTCTGCTGCAAGGTCTTCGAGTTGCACAGTCCCAATCCCTGCTGCCAGCAGGCTCCCACACCTCCCTGGTTCCTGTAGCTGTCCAATGTCACCTCCAGGTGTCTGCGTCGCTCACTATCACCATTCCTTCTCCACCCCTGGCCTCCCCAAGCTAGAGACATGCCAGTTCTCCTAGGAGGGAGCAGAGGGCTTGGCCAGAGAAGAAAGTTGCTACAGGTTCTTCCTCTGCACAGATGGAGAAAGCACAGGGAGAAGCAGCCAGCAAAGAGGAAGAGCAAAGCAATTTGTCCAGGAGGACTCTGAGACAACATCTATGCTGGTAAGTGGTGCCAGGACCCACCTCCTGACCCTGCAGCCCACAGGCATGCAGCAGCCTGCATCCACACCACTGCGTTATCTTCATATCCCAACAAGGTGGGCACCTCAGTCTGCCTATAATTGGGAAATGCTGGCAATACTTTGGAGAGTGCTAATCAGCCCAGCCGAAAATCCCACCAGGGACCTCTGCAGAAGTTTAGCAGCACAGCTGACCATGTCCACAAGCCCCTGATACTGCAGTGGCTGAGCTGCACAGAGCCTCACTGTCCTGGCAGCTGCTGGACATTGGGAACCCAAAGAGCAAGACTACCAGCTGCAAAGGGCATCAGTCTTGGGAGGGGTTTCTGATCTCTTCTTGATCAGAGCAACATCACTTACCCTTCCAGGAGAGCAATGACATTCTTTCTGGGCCTCCCAATGTTCGGCCCATAGAGGTTTGCTCTGGAATATGTGCGGATAAGCTGCAGCAGGCTTCTCAGCTGGATGTAGTCCTTCCCCAGCTGGCTGCCGTTCACCGAGCGGCCGATCAGGGTCCGATAGTTATTGGGCTCTGGGAAAATAAAAATAGACAAGCAAGGCTTGCCAGCTCTGCTCCTTCATCCACGCTTCCGGAGAGACACACAGCTCACACGCTGTCACAGGGCTGCCTGCCTGCTCTGCAGAGCTGAAGAAGGAGCCTCTGAGGCGTGGATGGGGGCCATTGCTCGCTCTCCTGTGCCAGCACCTGCTCCCACATCCCTTTTTCTGTGTGCTGGGTGAAGGACCTGTACCTTGGTGTCACACTCCTGTTCCTGTAGGGTCTCCCACTTCCCCTGGCACTGCAGCCACCATACAAGTCCATACAGCTGCTGGTCTGCCCACCCCAGGACTAGCTGTACCTAGCAGCCAGGGCAGAAGCATTTCATGTGTTTAATAGCAACTGATGGAAACATCCAGCTAAGGTACCAACACATACCAGATCTGTCTTAGAGATGGTGCTGCCTTATAGCAGGAGCCTTTAAATCCCTCTGAACCTACATTAGCAAAACATCCTGGGATTTGCAAATATCCTCTTCCAAAAGGGAATACCTTTCTGCTACAGCAAGCTCTGTTCCCGTGACTCTCCTGTTCCCACACTCACCATTCCCCAGCTCCCAGGAGATGTTGTACTTCTTGCTGGCACTGTACTTCAGCAGGCTGAGGGCATTGGAGCTGTTCCAGGAGTTGTTGGGATTTCGGCGCAAAGCATTCAGTGCAAAGATCAGGTGAAGGCCAGAGCAATCAGCAAAGTTATAGAGTTTGTCTAGAGACCTGGCTGGGAAGAAACAAAAACCAGCTTGTAATTCAAATGAAAGCTAGTTCCAGGGAGGTTCAAATGATCCTGCTGTCCATCAGACCTTGGCTTTTGTGTAGGATGAGCCAGGGTCAAATGCCATCCCCGTGACATCTGTAACCGCAGAAATGCACCTGACCTTTGAAACCAGGGTAGGATTCCAGGTGTGGGCTCATCTCCTTCCAGCATGAAACTTGGATGCCCTCCACCACTGTGTCAGAACTAGGGGCTATGTTACCAGAGACAAGTGACTTCATAACGTCTCTTTTCATCTGCTCTTGCCAAGGAAAGTTCAGCCTTTTCTGTGCTTATCCCGCCTTTCTCTTTCAGAGCAGATCACTGCAGTGCCTGGGGAGCAGGGGAGGAAATCACCACCCCAGGGCTGCCAGCTCATGGCCACCTCTCCTGCACGCCGCCACAGCCTGCTCTCTGCTCCCACAGCCCCCTGTGCAGTAACCAAACCCCAGCAATAACCAAGCAGAGCTTCCAAGGTGTGCACCATGCACCAGGCTAACCTCTGCTCTGCACACAAAGAGAGGAGCTTCGTGCCACCTCTTGAGCCTGAGGAGAGAGGAGGGCTCCCTGCCCGGTGACACCATGGCCAAGCTTTGCTGCTGGGGTGGCCCTCCTGGGGTGCTGGGGTCTTTGCGGGATTCGTGTCCTACCTGCTGGCCCCAAAGCTCCCCATCTGGCATCTCCCCTGCCGTGCTGTGGCCTTGATGAGCAGTGGGGCACCAGCCAGCAGCAGAAGTAGAGACCAAAGAAAGAGCTGACCCGCTGTTCAGTGAGGAGAGACATTAGCACAGGGTGCTACTGGGAGAGCCAAAAGGCTTAATACCTTTTTTGCTTCAATCTTCCCTAAAAACTCAAAAGCAATCAAATGTCTGACGAAGTTAATGCTGGTGTTAACAGAATAAGAAGTCACGTGAGAGGAGATTCGGTTAGAGGGCAATTAGAAAACTATGGTGTTTTCAATCATCCCTGCCTGTTGAACTGCATCCCAGGATACTCGTTGAGCTTCCTGAAGCAGCCTCGGAGATGCAACCACTTAACTGTGAGGAGCCAGCAGAGATGGGGAGGTTCCAGGGGACTGCGGAGGGCAGAAGAAGGGCTCTGCTTTCAGAAGAGGGGAAGGAGGCGCTGTGGAATTGCAGGGTAGGCAGACCAGCTTCAGGTCCCAGAAAAATACTTGGACAAATAATCAAGCTGCTTGTCAGCACTTACAAAATATAAGGAGATGATCAACAGCCACAGGAATGTGTCAAGAACAAATCACACTGAAGCAGTCTACTGACAGGAGAGCAGGGCTTGCGGGCAGCAAAGCAGCTGTTTAGGTCTTATACCTTGATGGTTTTTAAGGCTTTTGACATGTTTGCACATGATGTTCTCTCCAGAAAGTGAGGTAACCCTGATCTAGACTGAACCGCAGTGAGAAATACGCACACCAAGAGCAGCTACCAGTAATCTGCTGTTAAACTGAAGGGTCTAGGCAGCCTGCTCTGGGTCTCTCTATACATTTCCAATAAAGAGGGGTATAAAGGAGCGGAGGATGCATACATCAGACTTGCTATGGCACTAAGGTGCTAGCATGCACCACCATGGCCAAGGGAGCCAAAGGGGATGGAGAGGAGGCGACTGCACGCTCAGGGAATTGCTCTAAGCCCAGGGCCAATGCTCCGAGACTCCCTGTGCCCGCACTGCTGGACCAAGGTGCAAGGGAGACGGTGACAGCCAGGAGCCGCTCGCTTCGGTCAGGATAAGCTGCTCACAGCCTGTACGTCTGCATTTATTCTGTCGCCTTTCCTGGTCACTGAAAGCCTCTGTGAATACAAAGCCAGCTCTGAGGTCTGAGAAGAATAATTTTAAAAGCAATGTTATAAGGAGGGTCAAGGAAATAAGCTAACTGAATAGCTAACATTTAATGGAACACAGCACAGTCATGGAAAGGAGAAGAAAGGAAAAACGTGGAAAAGAAATTCCTAATCCCCTTCACAACCTTTTTCTAAATGCTACTGGTTAGTTGAGTGAAAAGTAGCTGAATTAGATTAATGTGATGTATTCATTCCACTGTTTCAGGCACATTAGCTGTTTTTCTGGATGTTTAGTGCATTAGAGACAGATACAGTTACTTAATACTCATTTACTTCAGACCTCCAGGCAAAAAGCTGCACTTGAAATGAGACTCCTATAACGGGGATAAGATAGACACCTAAATGACAACATGAAGATAGCAAAAAGGTCTTACCTGCAGTTCCCCTGCTAGAAATGAAACCTTTTCCCTGGTGCAAAACAGTTGTAGTTCTTAAGTACTACAGGAGGGAATTTGGTTCATTTTTAGGAGCCTCTGTAGAGGACTGGGAATTGATTTTCCATGCATTCACTGGAGGAAACAAGGCATCTGTTTATCCCAGTGCAGGGCCTGCCACTGTGAAATTATATTTTCCCCATGAGACTTATTTCGTTTCCGGCGCCTGGACACAGAGATGCCACGTGTATTTCATGTTCTGCCATAACTTTCCGAGCTGGAAACCTCAGCGATCAGGCAGAGAACTAGAAGAAATGCACAGATGTCTGGGGGTTGCTCCTGAACGTTTTCAGTGGTCTTCCAGCACACAAACGGACCTGCAGACTGCAATGAAGCTGCAAAGAGCAGAAAACTACTAATAAACCTATCTCTGCATCAAACCAGATTGTTAATATGGGTGCCTCTGGTATCAACAGTATCAGTATCAAGCCCATTTATCTCCTTTATCCTTGGCAGCTCTCTAATGATGGTGTGAATCTGGAATCACCAGTCTCTCCAGTGACTCTAGCAGAGCCTTGATGACCAGTTTGCACAAGATGCCCAACTGTTAGTGGTTAAAGGGCATGTCTGACCCCTCCTGAGGCGACTGCCTTAAACTAGACATCTCTGTTGCAGGCAGCTGTGGTTAGATGAGAAGAGTACTGTCATAGGTGGCTAAAGCACAAAAAGAAGCATATTTAGAAGACCTCGAGTGATGTCCAGCCCTCCATAAGTACGAACAGGGCCAAAAGAGAATGCTATAAATATTTTACTGCCATGACTAGGGATGGTCACATTACTTCTGAGTAATGAGAACATGAAGAATTGCAGTATTATTAACAGCTGGCTAAAACTCACTTTGAATTCTGGATAATTGCACTGTTTTTTCTTCATCAAACACAGAAAATCTTTAGGAATTTAACCTTTCCCCAGATAACAGATCATTAGGCAAGGATTTCACAAAGCTTTTCAATAGAAGAAGCCATCGTCATACCAGAATGAATCTTAATAGAGCAGAACAGGTTTTATAAGATGTTCTCCCTGCCCCTTCTCCCCCTCTGCCTGGTGCAGAGATGCACATGCTCAGCACTAACGTGCCACTGAGCTCAGGGAGAAGGAATAAAGCAAAAAAAAGATGAAAATAAAGGGCGGGGCGGGGGGGGGAGTGGGGAAGTACAAGGATGCTGAGAGTCGGCTTCTGTGACTTACTAACGCTCACATAGTTGGAGCAAGGCTAACCAAGGCAGCAAAGCTATGTGCTCCATTCCCTTGCACCCAGCAGCAGTGCTGTGCCAGCAGGTTTCAGTGGGGATGGGCAACTTGGTGGGTCTGAGACTAACAGCAGCCAGTAGGCAGAGACAGAGACCCCATGTCCCTGGCACAAAAAAGAAATCAGAAGATATTTGGGCTTTCTCAACCTTTTACATCCCCAGTTGCAGAGGCTTGGACGCATCTGGAGAGTGAATACCGCCTGACAATGCATGGCTGGGTGGCGGCCAGTGAAGATATGCTTGCAATCCTGCCCTCAGCTGAAGCTCTGCAGAGGAATTAAAGATTTTGGCTGTTTGCATGGATCTCTCACCCTGCACAGAGGGAGACAAACAGTTTCAAAATGGAGGAGAAGGTGTCTGTGAGGCCACAAATGGTGGAGGGGTTCATGGGACAAGTATGTCCTTTGCGATCCTTTCCCATTTTTCTCCTTTTTATATGACACTAAATTTTAAAGTTCTCTGAAAGATGGATGGCACTTAACTCTTTGGCACGCCAACACAAAATCTGAGGCACATTAAAACATCTCTGGCAGTTTAAAATAATTGGAAAGGCTTTCCAGTTGTAGTTACTGAATTAAACATTATACTAGAGACTTTATAAAGAACAGAGTGTTGACTGCCATTTGGTAAGAGGGACAGTTCAATAATCTCTGGGTTTGAAAGTCTTCCACATTTTTTATTCTGCTTCAGGAATTTTGCTTTGGCAGGGTTTAGCACGAAGACTGGAAATTCATGTGCATGCTGAGATGGAGGCTGAGATCAGACAGTGGGCTGAGGAGTGGCGGGGCATGGCACGGTGTGCCGGGGGCTTTCGTAACTCTGGGAAGTCAACCAGGAGGACAGGAAAGAAGAGCTTGTTCTCCCTCTATCCCCACCATTCACCACGTCCGTCTGTTGCACGTACATCATGTGCCAGTGCCGAGGAGGACAGGGCAAGAGCTGAGCACAGAGTGGGCAGCACACACCACACTCCCCAAATCCACAGGTTAGCTGAGACACCAAGCAAATGTACAACAGATGAGCCTTTCTGTTGATAGAGCAAAGAAAGACAGTTCTAGAAATAACGATTTCAACTAATCACAGGTATTGCTCGACTCTGCATTCCCCATAAATTCTGAGCAATGCCTGAAGCATCCCTGCAAACAACTCCTGGTGCCAGCACCAAAGCCAGCAGCATCCCCTGCCCCTCAAGCACCTCGCAGGAGACAGCGGAGGGAATGGGTTAGGAAAGACCTGGCAAAGAGCAAAGAGAAGCCCAAAGAGAGCTTTACAGGGAGGGGCAGAAAGGGCAGTACAGAGTGTTCAGACAAGAGATGAGTAAGATGGCTGGCGAGAGCAATGAATGGAAAAAGAAAGGTATTCCCACTTACAGAAGAACAAGTGGGTACATGGAAAATTTATTTACAAACAAATTGCCACCATAGTCA